AGAGGCTGATAGAGGGTGCTGGAGTCTAATGTTGCTTGATTTTTTTCCCTTTCTCTAGCCCCTTCCTCTCTTCTGGAGAATACTTGGAAAATTATCACAAGAAGAAAGCTTACTCAGGATATTCACTTTTTCTATTGTCTCAAGACCTTCCCATAAAGCCCAGTTCTCATGAACAAGGGGCCAGCTGCTCTGCCTGGGGAAGAGTCATTCCTCAGCCTGAGTCATTGGACAAACCACTCAAGGGCACAGAGAGAAGGCACAATGGGAACAACTTCCATGGAACAACCCCATCAGGGCAATTCCCTCAGACTCTTGGCCCAACCCCATTCTCCTGGTCTGATGTTGGAATCTGTCTCCAGACCCTCTTTCTTAAGCGCTGATCAGACAAAATATCAATAAACTTGGCCAAATTTGATTGTAGTCCTGCAGGGGGTACTGTATCACCTAGGGGCCAAGAAGGTGCAGGGTGAGTTTGTGAAGATCTGCATTTGGGAACTCTGCTAGCCTGACTTGTGTTTTCATACAAAAAAAAGTCTTTGGCCAGGGACTGCTGTGTGTCCAAGTTCACCTAGTCTACTTTTGTCTGGACATTGCATTATCCCGAGGGGATAATCACAGCTAATCTCAAACATTCCACTCTGGCAAAGCTAAGGCTGCTTCTGAGAGATGAGAGGAAACGGGTAGCCAGGAAGTCATCTTTTGCAATGGGCGTTGAGTTAGCTTGAATTGTAAACATATCTCGTCTCTGGTGGAGGCGATATTTGCGCACCCAACCTTCTCTTCATCTCCTGCTAGTGATGATCTTTATCAGATAACCTCAACCTCAAGTGATTCCCTTTAAAGCAATTCCAGTTGAGCTTTTTCCTACCTAGCCTGCTGTGTGGCCCTACTCCTGGGCTTAGTATCTTCTGAACATAAGAAGAGATCTTAGCTAATTTTTCCAGGGTATTGAGTAGCTGTGGTTATGACCATGATGCTGTCTGAATTTAGTCTCTCTCATGATCTCAGAGGAGCCTGGGCTGGTGTTATTGGGCTGTGTGTGTGTATACACAGATCTGCACATGGAGGGGCAGAATTCCCTGTATAAGTAATACATGAAATTCACACTTTAGGTGGAAGGAGTGGGAAGGGTATCTACCTTTTTAATGGGAGAAAGATGTTTATTCAACTGCTCAAAAAATGTATTAACATTGTTTACTGAATCCATTGCTCTATTTTAAAAAGATAATTTGTATTTTCTATTTGTAACATCAGATGTCTTAAGGCAATAAAGATTCTCAAAGTGGTCTGTGATTATCTTAATTTTCTTTTTTTCTTCTTTTTCTTTTTTTTTGGGGGGGGGCAGGAGCTTGAACTCAGGGCCTGGGCACTGTCTCTGAGTTATTTTGCTCAAGGCTATCATTCTACCACATGAACCACAGCTCCACTTTGGGCTTTTAGGTGGTTAATTGGAGATAAGAATCTCTTATTTTGCTGCTTGGGCTGGCTTTGAACTGCAATCCTCAGTTCTCAGCCTCCTGAGCAGCTAGGATTACAGGCATGAGCCACTGGCTATCTTACATTTCTGAGGACTGAGGTATGGCGAGGTTAAAAGGCTGGTAGAGGAGTAACTGTGACACCCCCCTTGTAGAAGCATGCTCCATCTGTTGGCATGGGCGCTACTCTCTATAAAAGAGTCTCTATATCTGAAGGTTCCGGTCTACCCACACAGAAGACTACAACTCTGTGGCTAGCCTGTGACCTTGACCTTTCTTCCTACTGTGTACACTCTGGAATGTGATCCCTGATGAGATGGCCCACTGTTGTCTCTGGCTCTGCCTCAAAGGGCGGCTGAAGTGTTGTTCCACAACCACCCCATTCCTGTACCAGCTTGCTCAGACTTGAGTCAACAGGTCAGTTCCCGTAGTCGCCTGCAGTTTCTGGCTACTGATTTCCTCCTCAATTGTCTGTCTTCACAGCTGTGCTCAGGTCACATCTGTTATTTGCGGATGTCAATGCTGTAGTTTTCTGCATGACTCTTCCCTCCAGAGGTACCATGTGCTCATTGCATTCTAGCACCAGTCATTAGCAATTCTTAGGTGGAGAGAGGCAATATTCTAATTCTACTATTTTGTGTGTGTGTGTGTGCGCTTGCGTGCGCCTGTCCTGGGGCTTGAACACAAGGCCTGGATGCTGTCCCTAAGCTATTGTGCTCAAGGCTAGAGCTCTACTACCTGAGTCACAGCTCCACTTCCTGCTTTTTGGTGGTTCAATGGAGATAAGAGTCTCATGGACTTCCCTGCCTGAGCTGGCTTTGAACTACAATCCTCAGATCTTAGTCTTTTGAGTAGCTAGGATTATAGGCATGCCACCAGCACCTGGCACTATACTTATTTTGGGTAGTACTGAGGTTTCAAGTCAGCGGCCTTCAACTTGCTATGCAGGTGCTCTACTGCTTGAGCCTCACCTCCAACCTTTTTTACCTTATTCTTCAGGGAAGATCTTGTGCTTTTACCTGGGGCCAGTCTCAGACCAATATCCTTATGGCCTTCCATATATCTGGAGTCACATGCACACACTACCATGCTGGCTTCTTGATTTAGATGGGGTTTGACTCAATCTGGACTTGAACCCATCTTCCCAATCTCCTCCTGAGTAGCTGGGATCACAGGCATAATGATTTATCAGGGAAGGGACTGAGTCTGCTACACATAATGCCTGTTTTCCACCCAAATTGTCACTTTAGAACCTTCTGGATCTTACCTATTCTCACATGCAATTGCATTTCCATGTGCACACCTAGAGGATCCACATCATCTTACACTTTCACTCCTTTCTCAGTGGTCTCCAGGTGGATTTATATATTCATGTTAATTCTATAATTTTTTTTTTCTTTTTTGTTAGTCATGGGGCTTGAACTCTGGGCCTGGGCACTGTCCCTCAGCTCTTCAGCTCAAGGCTAGTGGTGCCACGGCACCACTTCCTGTTTCCTGAGTGGTTTATTGGAGGTAAGAGTCTCTCAGCCTTTCCTGTACGGGCTGGCTTTGAACTGCGATCCTCAGATCTCAGCCTCCATGATTACAGGAGTGAGCATCGGAGCCCAGCAAGATTTTTTTTTCAAAGTGCAGTATGGTGGGGATGTGAGGCCTGGAATTACTCCACCTTCTTTTTGTACCATAAAGATGGCAGTCTGAAAGGAAAGACAACAGAGAAATGGAATTGGAGTCCTGATTGAACCATTCCTGAAATTTATAATCCTTGTAACTTTTTGGTTATGCAGCCATGTTCTTTTTACTGTTTAAGGTGGATTTTATTCCTTTCACTTAAAGACTGATGGAGACTTCCCAAGATATTAAAAACAGTAAAAATTCTGTTTTTTGTTTTTCTGGTTTTATTTTTGTTGGTTGTGGGGCTTGGAACTCAGGCACGGGCACTATCCCTGAGCTTTTTCACTCAAGTGTAGCATTCTACCACTTTGAGGTTTTCTGGTGGTTAATTGGAGGTAAGAATCTTATAGACTTATGTACCAGGGCTGGCTTTGAACTATGATCTTCAGATCTCAACCTCCTGAGTAGCTAGGATTACAGGTTTGAGCACTGGTGCCTGGCCCTTTGAACTTCCTTCAGACTCCCAAGTCCCATCTTTGTTTCTGATTTTCTTTTTAGCTCCTCTTTACCATACTGTAGCTATACTGATATACCTCCTGAACAACTATTCCTACCTGCCAGTTACTGTTCCCTCTGCCCTAAATGCCCACGTCTGGTCTTGAGTCTGAGTCCTAAGCATTTGAGTCTCAGCTGAAATCCCCGTGTCAGAACTTTTCTGGTGATCCAAGTTATGTCCAGTATTCTCCTACCCACGTCTTCTTGATCAAATTGCCTTGCTTTCTACAGAATTCTGTCTGTAGATCTTCCATGAGCTGCCTTGTGAATCCTGTTTTGCCAACTATGTTAGGCCCCTGGGAGCAGGGTACTGCCTGTGTTGTTCATTTCCCTGCTCCATGAGACTGGCATGGACAGGTCCTCAATAAATATTTGCTGAAATAACAAGGGACCTTGCAAAAAGACAAACTGAGTGGGAGACATAGCCAGGAGAGGCCCAGGCAGTGTTTCAAAGGCAACTGTCACTAGGGGACATTATTCCTAGGGTCTAGGAGGCTTGCTTCTACTGTCATGCAATTTCTTCAAAGCTACTTAATTGCAGTTTCTGTCTCTGTAGTTACCAAGAACTTCGTTTCCTTCTTAAAGAAGAGGACAAGAAAGGGTGGTGACTGTTGAGTGGTGATCCTAGAATCTAGAAGATGGTGAAGAGGAAGAAGATTGGATTTCAAGAACATGAGAGGCCAGATGCCGATGGCTCATGTCTATAATCCTAGCTACTCCGAGATCTGAGGATCACGGTTCAAAGCCAGCTCAGGCAGGAAAGTCCATGAGACATCTCTAAATTAACCACCAGAAAACAAGAAGTAGCACTGTGGCTCAAAGTGGTAGAGTGCTAGCCTTGAGTAAAAAAACTCAGGGACAGTGCCCAGACCCTTAGTTCAAGCCCCACAACCAACCCTCCCATCTGCCCCTCACCTCCCCCTCCCCCAATAAAAAGCACAAGCAAGTGACAAGAGAAAAGCTGGAGGTGGCCAGGCTGAGTAGGTATTTTTTTTTTTGGTCATGTGTCTTGAATTCTGGGCCTAGGCACTATCCCTCAGCTACTCAGCTTAAGGTGAGTGCTCTACCACTTGAGCCACAGCAACACTTATGATTTTCTGGTGGTTATTTGGAGATAAGTGCCTCACAGACTCTTCTTCCCAGGCTGGCTTTGATCCGTAATTCTCAGATCTCAGCCTCTTGAGTAGCTAGGATTATAGGTGTGAGCCACCGGTGCTCAGATGGATTTGATCCAGGCAGAAAGCTGTGATGCTCTGGTCCTGGGGCTCAGAGAAGTGGGACGGGGGGGTGGGGGGGGGGGGCCAGGCAGGGGAGAAGGCAAGGCTCTTGTCTTATGGGAGATCAAAGTACCAGGACAAGAAAGGGTTTTTCTATTTATTACAAAATTTGTTTCACAAATACAGGTGACCATAAAGTCTAAAAACAGCCCAGACCCTTTCATTCTTCAACTACCTCTAGATTAAAGAGCCACCACAGCCTGCTCACACAGAGTGGAGCCTGCATTGGAAGAACTGCGCATCCCTTGGATGGCTGAGTGTTGGGTCCACAGCAGAGGAGCCTGGTGTGTGGAGACCAGCGGTGAAGCAGCCCTTGGTCCCGTTGCTCTGGGTGGACAGCAGCTTTGAGTTTCACAGTCCTATGTTCCCACCACAAAAGCCAAATCAAAGAAGAGAAAGAAAAGGAGAGAACAACTACAAACAGTAGAAGACTGGAGGGGGCGTGCGGGTGGGAAGGGCTTGGAGTTTTCTGACTCGGATGGATAGAGTATACACTTGGAAATCACTGTATATTGTATGGATGTGTTACATACATGTATGTATTACATGCATACAATTTATCTTAGAAATTTTTGTAAAAAACAATGTATTTTTTTTAAAAAAAAAACAACCCCAGCAAAACTTGAGGCTGAAAGTAAAGGGGCTGAGGAGGAAGCTAAAAACAAAAACAAAAGGGCAGAGAGGAAAACAGAGACAGCAATGGGGAAGATGGAACCTTGGAGGAGGCGGTGCCAACTGACTTAATTCCTTTTCTTCTGTCTGGATACTGGTTCTGCTTCTAGGTACTGGAGCCCGACCAGCATTCCCAGGATTGAGAAACCTTAGACAGGAAAGAGATCAGTTCAGGAGGAAACACAGTGCCTTTCTTAAGATTCCCACACAGGCTTTGCGCTGGGCCTACAACAGCTGCTGTGGAGGTTCAGCAGGTAGGAGGAGGGGCTTACTTGCCACCATCAGAGGTGCCAGGACGCCAATTGTGGGAGCTGCAGTTCCAAACACAAACAACTCGGAGAGGAAGTGTCCCAGGGCAAGCAGGAAGGTCCACAGCGTGATATGGTAGAGCCTGCAAGGGAGAAATGGAGACAGAAATGGAAAGGAATGTTACTGCTTGTTCACTATAAGCTCTCAGCTGACTTGATGTATACTTAGGGATATGACTGTGGCTTAAGAGAAAGGACACTGTTCCTGAGAAAACACATCAATTCCTTCTCTCCTAGGGCAAAAGAAAGGTTTGAGAGGCTAATCTGAGAGTATAGTCCAAGTGGTCAGAGCAAGTCTTAGCAAGGATAGCAAAACAATGTCTGGATTATGGCAACTCTAGACAGTGCCAGTAATGTTGGCGCTTTGCTTGTCCAAATGGGCAGTATAAGCCATCTACAGGTGTCTCCACGCCAGCCAGTGTTAATGTGACAGAAGCCACAGAGGACACAAAGAGCAAGCCATCTCTGGGCCTTTCAGGCATTCTTGTAGGATAGTCTGGTTACTTTGTGTCTAAGCCTAGAATGGTCAGATGTAAGACATGGTGACAGCCTGGAGAATGAGAACTTATTTCTCAGCTTTCTCCATGAGGTGATGAGAGGCTATTGGCTCATGGCTTCTTGGACTGCTGCTGCTTCTATTTCTTGTTTGTGTTTTAAGGATGTAACTTAAAAAAATATAAAGTGCTTCAACTATATGAAAAAAATTGGAGAAAACTGCCAGGCACTGTTGGTCTATGCCTATAATCATAGCTACTCAGGAGGGTGAGATCTGAGAATCTTGGTTCAAAGCCAGCCTAGACAAACACATCCATGAGACTCTTATCTCAAAAAGCTAGCAAAAAAACCAGCAGTGAAGGTATGACTCAAATGGTAAGGTGTCAGCTATAAGTGGAAAATGTGAGAGTACAAGTCCCTGAGTTCAAGCATCAGTACTGGCACACACAAAACAAATTAGAGAATATGATAATGAACCCTAGTGTAACCTACACCCAGCTTCATCAAACTTTAACATTTAGACAGATCCTTTTTTCCCTATTCATGCTGGGAAAGTGCTCTACTATGAGCTACATCTTCAGCTGGATACTTTTTTCCTGAGACAAAGAGTTCAAAGAACTAAAGTATTACAGAAATAGAGTACAAAGAAACAAAACCCTACAGATATGAGTTAAAACTCCTACCGTATTCTACCCTGATCCTGTGCTCCCTCTCTCCTCCGCAGAACTAATCATTATCTTAAATTTGATGTTTATCATTCTGGTGTATCTTTAGTAAAGGAGTACATCTGTGTTGATTTGGAGTTTCCATTTAAGAAGGGAACAAGATCAGGATGTATGTCATAAGTGCATGGATCAAAGTCCTAGTTTAGAAAGGACTGGAAACACGAAGTCAGCATTTGCAGCTGTCATGGGTTGGGAGAGGGGGAAAAGTGAATGGGTAACAGAGGTAAGGATTGTCTTTGCTCATTCCAAAAGCACAGCAAACAGAAAGTATAGCCCTACCAAAAATTCATCATGCTAAAGGTCTTTATCCTTCTTTCTTTTCCCTCAGTCCCCAAGAAGTAGGATGTCTATTATCATTTTACCAATGAAGGTAAAGATGAGACCATGGTGCAGAGAAAGCAAATAACTTATTGCTATAAAGCTAGTTACCAACAAATCTGAGACTTAACCATACTACTTCCAAAAATATGTGTCTATCTAGGACATGTAAACCATAGTTTGAAGTTAAAAAAAATTAAAAATAAAGTTGGAGATCAAAAGGCTAATAGTTTTGCTTGAAATCCCACTGAGTCATTCTTCCTCAGTTTAAATTAATTGGGTCTTTAATATTCAGGTCTGCAAAGTCAGGAATAAAAACCACTGCCTCCCAGTGCTACTAGGAGCCTTACTGATCAAGGTCATGTAGATGAAAACTCCTGGTATAATTAGAGCCATGTTATTGCCTCCTCTCTTCCCCAGATATTGATAGCCTGAATAAGATAAAAATTCTTCAGCTGAGCACCAATGGCTCACACCTCTAATCCTAGCTACTCAGGAGGCTGAGATCTGAGGATAATGGTTTGAAGCTAGCTCTGGCAGAAAAGTCCCCATGAGACTTGTATCTACAATTAACTACTCAAAAATTGGAAGCGGTGCTGTGGCTCAAGTGGTAGAGCACTAGCCTTAAGCACCAAGAGGCTCAGGGACAGTGCCCAGGCCCTGAGTTCAAGCCCTACAACCAGAAAAAAAAAATAAAAAAAGAATCCTTCAGTGTGAAGCTGGCCTTTTGACAGCCTCACAACTAGTGAACTGAGCAATGTTTCTACTCTGTGGGAGAGAGATGGGGCTGGAGCCTCCTCTAGTGGTTAGAGTTGGTAACTGCTCCATGCGAGCCTTAGTACCAAGGAAAGGCAGCATGCAGATTTTTACCTCTTCTTGACTTTGCATGAGCTTGGTGTCAGTTTACTTGTGGATAACTCTTTTGCATGGCTCAAAATTTCTGCTCATTCCTGTTTCCTAAGGAGACATGTATGTATGGGTGGCTACTCTAAAAGGACCATACTGGGATTAGAGGCTGTAGCTTACCACATGGAAGGGCCTGGATTTGATCCCTAGCACTACTGCAAAACAAAGCAAGACAAGAAGGGCATCCTACATAGCAGAAGGTAGATTCTTTGGTAAAGGAGAGGAGTACCGGTGCGGGTAGCTCACGCCTGTAATGCTAGTTACTCAGGAGGCTAAGATCTGTGGATTGAAGTTTAAGGCCAGCTCTGGCAGGAAAGTCATGAGACTCTTATCTCCGATTAACAGCCAGAAAAGTGGAAGTGGAGTTGTGGCTCCAAGTAATAGAGTGCTAGTCTTGAGCTAAAGAACTCTGGAATAGTGTCCAGGCCCTGAGTTCAAGCCTCATGACTGACCAAAAAATAAAAATAAAAATTAAAAAATAAAAAAGGAGAGGAGTGTGATACAGACAACTAGATAACGCTGCCAGTCAGTTCCAAAGAATTTTCAGATTTTAAAGAAAACCTGTTGTGGCTATCATGGTTTTCCAGATGAAAGCAATGGACCCTGTTATTATCCATGTTCTAAGCTTATGTAACAAGCCTAACCATAGGGTGATGGGTATGCATAATGCTAAAGGATGCTAAAGGTCTTCTGTTACATACGTCTTGTTGTGAATGTCAATGGCACAGAGGCAGCGAATCACTGAGGAGAGCAGTGTCCAGATCCCAAAGGTCCGGGCTTGCAGGCCATTCACTGTGTAGAGAGTGAGGGAAAAAGAAAATAAGGGTTGAGAGGAGAGTTTCCTTCCTTTTAAATACTTCCTGTTTCTCTGTGGTTTATAACAGGTAGCTGAACTTGCCCTTCCTATGCCTGAGCCCACAGGGTTCTGGTGCCAAACCAGGGGACTAGAAGAAATTCCAGAACAAGAACTGTTCATATCCTCCTCATTGTCTTCACTTGGGAGTTCCAACAAAAAAAATTCAGTTAGGTAAATAGCTCCTGGATGTAGCTTACATACTTTGGAAGCTGAGAGGCTGTATTAGAACAGCTTTGGGAGAGAGAGGAGTCTGTTTAGATACTTAAAAAGGCCAACCTGAACAGGAGATTCAGCAACAATCTAGATGCTATCAAGATGTAGTTTTAGTCTGTGGGTCTCTTCCTGAATCTACCTTTACATTGTTTGAGCCACAGCTGAAGCAGGCTAGCTTCCTGGGCACATGGAAACGGCACTGTTTCTTGGGTGTGCTGGAGGCACTCTATTCTTGGTGAATACATTCTGACACTGTTGCATTAAATATCTTGATTTGATAATATGGGTCATATTTCAATACAACAGTGGTTCTTAACCAGTATGTGTCAGTACTGGAACTTGAACTTGAGGTCTTGAGCTCTTACTTGGCTTTTTTTTGGGTCAGTTGTGGGGCTTGAACTCAAGGCCTGGATGCTGTCCCTGAACTTTTCTCCTCAAGGCTAGCACATTGAGCCACAGCTCTACCTCTGGTTTTGTGTTGGCTAATTGTAGATAAGAGTTGCATGGACTTTCTTGCCTGGGCTGGTTGTGAACTTCAATCCTCATATCTCAGCCTCCCGAGTAGTTAGGATTATAGGCATGAGCCACCAGCACTCTGCTTGGGCTTTTTCTTCTTCTCATGGCTGGTGCTCTATTACTTGAGCTATGCCTCCACTCCCACATTTTGCTGATTAACTGGAGATAAGTCCCTCAGACTTTCAGTGTGTGCTGGCTTTGAACCACGATACTTAGACCTTAACCTCTGCAGTAGCTAGGTTACAGGTGTGAGCCACTAGCTCACAACCCCAGGAGCTTATTAGTATCAACCAAGAAGTTTTATAAAATTACTATGGTCTAGACACTAGACCAGTTACAACGTACTCTCTAAAGGTAGGCCCTGCCATGAGTACAAAATAGAAATGCTCTGCTCAGGTGATTTAAATGAATAGCCATTGTTCTAAGGCATCCAATGGCTTAGAAATGCCTCAACAGTGAAAGCACATTTACTTCTTTTGCTGGTCTGTCTGTTGACAAACAGTGGAAATTTCAAGTGAGTTGGGAAAGTGGTCAAGTCCTTGTCTAGCATGTACAAAGCTCTGGGTTCCATCAGCACTGAAAAAAAAAAGAATTTCAAAGGACAAGGTTGCCAATTGAAAGTTCTATTAATGTTTACTTAAGCTTTAAGGACTTTTTTGTTTGTTTGTTTGAATCATGGAGCTTGAACTCAATCTCTAGGGGCTGGCCCTGTGCTTTGGTGTTTAAGGCCTGCACAGCTCCACTCTCAGCTTTTTTTTTGGTTTTGGTGCTTAACTGGAGAAGAATCTCCTGCCCTGGCTGGCTTTGAACCATGATTCTCAGATCTCAGCCTCCTGAGTAGCTAGGATTACAGACTGGTTTTATGGACTTTTAACATTTGAAAACCTAACAGCTCTACCAAATTCATATCATTGAAGATCTTTAGAAGCAGTTAAAAAAAAAAAATCCACATATCAACCAAAAATCTAACAGACCTAAAGGGCTACATTCTTTAAAAACAAACAAACTAGCCGGGCACTGATGGCTCATGCCTGGAATCCTAGCTACTCATCTGAGCTGAGGATCACAGTTCAAAGCCAGCCTGGGTAGGAAAGTCTGGGAGACTCTTATCTTCAACTAACGACCAAAAGAAAACTGGAAGTGGCACTGTGGCTGAAGTGGTAGAGTGCTAGCCTTGAGCTGAAGAGCTCAGGAACAGTGCCCAGCCCCAGAGTTCAAGCTCCATGACAGACAAAAAACAAAAACAAAAAAGCAAAAAACAAAACTAATTTGATAAATTTGTTGATTAAAAGACAGGAAATTTCTCTAGCTTGTGGGATACTCAGGGGAAGTGCTTCATCAAAGGGCCAGGCCAGATACCTGAAGTCCTGGGCACAGGACCATTTGAGGGTAGCATTGGAGGGGTGAAAAACCATTTTTCTGTTCAACTTTTCCAGTTCTTGACTCCTATTATATTTGAGCTTTGTTGAAAAGAAGCCTTAGCCTACTTAATTTCACTTTAGACCCAGATGTTGCTGAAAAATGAGCTAGGTCAGAGCGTGAATCTGGGTTAGCTATAAATGTGGCACAGAACTGTCAGCTGCTATCAGATTGTGCAGCAGCTCAAAGTAACCCCACCTCAACATGACCAAGTGTGGCAAGCTGCAGAGGAAAGGCGCTCTCAGCAGAGACACATGGGGGGAGAAGGGAGAGGTTGGGAGAGGTCAGCTTGAGCCTTGAGGTTTCACTGGGTAGGGGTGAGGGGGGCACTCAGAGGGATATGTGATTTCCGCTCAGGGACTACATCACAGTTTGGGAAGACTGTGATTAGTAACTATACCTGCAACATGGAATATAAACTGTGATCTGATCAGAAGAGGACTCTGAGCTACAATGAAAACTTCTTTTATGGCATCCTAGGGGCCACAATAGCAAAGACATAGTTCAAGCATCCAAAAAAAAAATTACAAAAGTTGATTTACAGCACCCTATAAAAGACTTTCCCGGGCTGGGATGTAGCTCAGTGGCAAAGCGCTTGCCTAGCAAGTGCAACGTCCTGGGTTCGATCCCCAGTACCAAAAAAGAAAAGACAAAAAAAATACAATTAAAAAAAAAAAAAACCCAAACAAAAAAAAGACTTTCCCCTCCTAAACCAAATAAGATTCCTCACCCTGTCCCTGCCCCACCTCACTCCCAGCCTTTTGTTTACAACTAGCTGGCAGTGACTTTTCCTGGCAAGTTACTCCTCCATCTGAACCCAGGCTTCTGCCTTCTCATAGTACTGGTTGGCTAGCTGGCCCTAGCTGACCACGTTCTGGGGGAGTGGGGATTGAAATGCAGCCTAATGACCCAATATATTGTTATAAAGTTCAAAAAAAAATTTCTGATTTCTGAGATTACAGCAGATACAGCAATGTATCACCATATCTAGCCTGTTCTATGATTTCTTACCGAGGTTTGGCTTGCCAGTGTACAGCTTTTCATAGAGAAAGGTATGGTCTCAGAAGCTCTGAAGCGTGTTCCCCATGGCTATGATGGACACTATGACCAGCCAGCTTCGTAACACATTCAGGAAACGGCTCATGACTCTCCTCAAAGCAGAGAGGGTATTTTTGCTTTGAAAACAAAGCCAGACATCTAGGGGCATCCTAGAATCACAAAGTAACTACTTTCTCCCTTGCCCTTATAAGGCTTTCTGGCCATACAAATTGTCTGGGGCAGTGTAAAATGAATAAAAAGGTATCCAAAGAAGCAGATGAAAAGGGCCAAATGTGCTCTACAAAGTTTGTCACTCCAATGGTTACCAAAGACTAGGTTAGACAGCATCAGAATCACCTGGAGGTTAGAAACTAGATCCTTGGGCTTCTCCCAGGTTTAATAAATTGATTTGGAGAGAGAAATGGATACATATGCTTTGTTTGATCTTAAGTTTCCTGGGTTGTTCTTATGTAAAGTTTTATTTGGGAACTAGCTAGGCAACTCCTACATAGAATACTGTTCTTTGATTTCTTTTCTTTTTATGGGGGAGGCAGGGAAGAGGAGACAGTCTTACTATGTAACCTAGGCTAGACTTGAACTTACAATCCTCTTGCCTTAATATTTCTGATTGCTGAGATTCACACCCCTTGAGAGATCACAGGGATTCGTTTGGGACTTAGGACTTCGGAGGGAGGTAGGCTGCTGGATACTATGGTTGGTTTAACTCTATGCCCCACTTTGCTGTCTTTTAGGGGACTTGTACACTCAGGCGGCTGAGGCAGCAATGGAAGTCATGAAGGGCCAGCTAGCCAACCAGTACTATGAGAAGACAGAAGCCTGGGTTCAGAAGGAGGAGTAACTTGCCAGGAAAAGTCACTGCCAGCTAGTTGTAAACAAAAGGGCTGGGAGTGGGGTGGGGCAGGGACAGGGTGAGGAATCTTATTTGGTTTAGGAGGGGAAAGTCTTTTATAGGGTGCTGTAAATCAACTTTTTTTTTTTTTTCGATGCTTGAACTATGTCTTTGCTATTAGCAGAGATACTCTTAACTGTCCCTTAGGACCACGTTCTGGGGGAGTAGGGATTGAAATGCAGCCTAATGACCCAATATATTGTTATAAAGTTCAAAAAAATTTCTGATTTCTGAGATTACAGCAGATACAGCAATGTATCACCATATCTAGCCTGTTCTATGATTTCTTACCGAGGTTTGGCTTGCCAGTGTACAGCTTTTCATAGAGAAAGGTATGGTCTCGGAAGCTCTGAAGCGTGTTCCCCATGGCTATGATGGACACTATGACCAGCCAGCTTCGTAACACATTCAGGAAACGGCTCATGACTCTCCTCAAAGCAGAGAGGGTATTTTTGCTTTGAAAACAAAGCCAGAGGACAGGTTAACCTGTGTTCCAGTTATGAGGGCTATCCAAGCTTAGTTGGCCAATCACATCATAAACTCCTCCCCAATTCCTTTAAGCTCATCCACCACTGGTTTTCCTATCACACTGCTTTTATATTAACTTTATATAAACCCACTCATAGTGGCAGAGACCAACTGATACAATGGAAGGAGATGACAAATATAACAGGGGGAAAATGGAGAAAAGAAAGGGAATAGAGGAAAAGGCGGTGTACAGACATTACTGTAAGTAGCAGAATGGATTTCTGTGTAAGGCTCATGGAAACTGCTCTCAATACTTAGTTATTCTGACAGCACTGACAGAGCAGTATGTATGGTAGTAAGTGTACAAACTTACCTTTTATCAAGTAATTTCTTCAAATTTCAGTAATACCCCAAATTAAAGCTCCTTTCTCTTGGCTGGAATCAGTATCTCTAAGTCTTTCCTTTGTAATGAAAGTGGTTGCTGATGACAGATCTCTCCAAGCCTCATTCATTTGAGTAGAAATTATGTTGTAAAGGCACCCCTTAGGGCTGGGAAGATGGCTCAGTGGTAGAGTGTTTGCCATGCATGCATGAGGCCCTGGGTTTGATTGTTCAGCACCACATAAGCAGAAAAAGCCAGAAGTGGTGCTGTGGCTCAAGTGGTAGAGCACTAGCCTTGAGCTGAAGAGCTGAGGGTCAGTGCCCAGACCTAGAATTCAAGCTACATGACCGACAAAATAAAAAGAAAAAAGAAAGAAAGAAAAGAAAAAAAAGGCACCACTTATAGCCTTGGTTTGTTTTTTTTTTAACTCTGCTTCTCAGCAACACCATGCTTCATAAGTTAGAATAATTTAAAAATTAAAAATAATTGTGACCTTATAACTAGTAAGAAAATTATATTGAGGAAGAAGGAGCAATCTTGATGTTAAGTTGCAAGAAAAACTGCAATAGCCACTAATGCTTGGGCACTTGTTCCATGCACTGTGCCAACTTGGAACACATATTATCTAATACCTATAACAAGATAGGCAGGTGTTATTAGTATTTCCATTTTACAGATGAGGTGTGGGACGGAGTGGTCCAGTGATTTGCTTGAGGCCACACACCCAAACAGTTAGTATATAGCAGTTAAGATACAAGCAATGACTCACTGACAGTTTTTTGATGGAGTTCTCATTTTTGTGAAAGATCAGTATACCATCTCAACTCTTGCCATCAGATGGTATAGAAAACACATTAGTTGGGTTATATGCTTTTTGTTTAGATCAACTCTCACTAAGTAGTGATGGCTACCAGTCTGATTTAAATGAGACCTAAAGAATCTAATGACAGACCAGCCTCTCATCACCATCAGTATCACCATCACCATCTCGGTCCATGGTTTATCTGCTGGTAGGTTAACTTCTTTGTCCTGAAGTGGTAATAAACTATCTTTTATCATTTTGGCAAAGAAGTTTCAATATGGTCTCACACTGCCCTGCTGAAATAGAGATTACAGTCATTAAAGTCAGTAGTGATCCAAGACAGTATGAAGCACTAGAAAAGAGCTGTAGAGAGGGAGGATTGAGCTCCTGAGGGAAAGATAGTTCACAAAGGTGGACCTTATCCAAGCCCAGAAAGAATAGGGGTATAGCGGGCACCAAAGGCACTTTCCGAAGTCCACCTCTATTTCTCAACCCTTCTCAAAAGGAGATTCAGGTCTGCTTCCAGGGTTAAGAAAGTAGAAGTAGGACTCTCTCTTTTCAGTAGAACTTATGTTCTTCTTGGTTTTCACAGTTCTTAGAAATCACAGCAGACAGCAGATGAAAAACTGAGCATTTCTGAATTGCCCTGTCAGTTCCTAAACCCCATTTCTCAACACTTTGAGGGCCTCTCAGAGTTATATCTTTCATCTTCGGACTGGCCTAGCATGGGTGTGGTGTTAAATCTTAAGAGTCAGAAAAGACAGATTCTTATCCTGGCCCTACTATTCGGTATCCATGTGGATTTAAGTCAGAACATTTACAATTTGCAGCCTCGGTTTTCTCATCTGCCAAATGGGAATACAATTATTTACCCGAAAGTGTTAGGAGAATCGCCTGAGAACTGATTCTTGCACAATGGCTAGCTCGCTATAGCCGATCCTCCATTCTTCTATTCCTTCGTTCCCCTGATTTACCAAGTGCTCCCCATCTTCCCACATCCTTGTCTTCGTCCCTCCAACCTCTTTGGCCCAGAAGGTAGTCTCCCAGGAAACTTCTACTTTCCCCAATTCCCAAGGATCCTCACAATCAGATCTCACACAGACACCTAACAGCTTTCTCATGCAAATTATCCTACCTGGCGACGGGACTCTTAGCACTGCAGCAGTAGTCCTTCCCGACAGCTCCAGACCTGAGTCCATATGGGCCACTTGTCTCCGCCCCCGACCTCAGCCGGGGCCCAGGATTGGATCGTTCCTATCACTCCTTTGCTCTGATTGGCTGCTTCGGTTTTTGCTGGAGCAGGCGATAGGGAGTGAACACCTTAGCTGCCAATCAGAGGTTGCCGCTGCCTAAGCTACTCTCCTGGTACGTCGTTCACGCAGAAACCCTCCTCTTGAGCGTGGCGGAACTATAGGTTTGGAGTTAGTCTTTTAGGGGCGGAGACACAAAGAGAGTAGTGCCGTGTTGGGGGCGGAGGGAGGGTACGAGGTTGTGAGCTAAACCTCCTTGCTGCCGACAGCGGGTGGGGGAGCTTGGGCTCTACTTCCGCGCCGCACCGCGCCGCGTCGTGATGACGACATTTATTCGCGCCGGGAGCCGAGCGTTGTCCTCGCCAGGCGGCGGGCGCCTGCGCAGTGGCTCCGAGCACGGGCGGTTGCTTGTTGGTTGTTGTAGTAACCGGGGAAGCCACCTTCGGCGGCTGCCGTGAGCCCCGCTGCGGAAGAAGAAGGGAGGTAGGAGCCGAGCGCGGTCCCCGCCTGCCCGCCCCCCGAGCCATGGGAAAATGAGACAGGTAAACGCCTGCGCCGGCGCGCTCTGCTACTGGAGGGAGCTGTGCCCCCAGATCCGGGCGGGCGCCGTCGCCCGCACTTCCCTCACGGAGACCCGAGCAGCTGTTGGCTTCCGGGCGCTCCGAGCTCTAACGCTGCGCTGAGGTTCCCGCGTCCTTCCCGGGCCGGGGGCGCACCGGCCGGCCTGCCTGGGGTTGGGGTGAGCGGGGACGGGGCCGAGGGCAGACCTCTGTGAAGCGAGCGCCCCTAATCGTCCCGGAGCTGGACGCCGTTCCCCGCTCCTGCGGGGAGCCTAGGGAAGGTTGGTATCCCTTCCTGCTTGGAAGGTGGTGCTTTAACTTCAAAGGACTACCTACACATTTTGGAGAAGATCCAGAAATCTCTTTGGGAATCTTCCGAAGAGAGATGTTAGATATTGTCCATCCCCTCCGTCCCCTCCCCCCCTCCCGCCACTGAAGATCAGCGAGGGATGTTTATCAGGCTCGGTGTTGTCTTATTCGTAGTCTGATCCTGTATATTGAATGCATAGGAAAAGAATGAAGTTTGGAAAGATCGTCCCGAAGTCGTTATTATTCTCAGTAATTGGGCTTATTAGGGTCATGGTCATGTACTTTGTTTCGAACGGGAAAAAATATTTTGAATTAGAAATGCACTGTTGGAAGTTTTGTAATTTTAATGTCTGTTTGAGGTTCGGATCAAAGTTTGTGATTTTCAGTACCGGGAGAATAATTATTAAGTCTTGGAAGAGTATTTTGACTCTCTCCTCCCTCCTCCAGCTAGTTTTACGACCTGTGATTAGGGAGAGCATTTATTATTAATCATTCAGTTGCATTGGTTTTACTTGAAACATGGTAGCATCTTGCCTATGGTGCTTGTGATAAGAGTCTAAGTAAATATTTGCAAGCGTCTTGAACCTTGAGTTTCAAATTTTATTTTTAATCCGTTTCTGTAGCAAGGACTTTGTTTTAGACAATTAGCTACCAACCTCAGACTGCCATAAAAGTGAAATGAGTTTATCCTTATGTTTCAAGTTAGACTTAGTCTATTAAAAAAAAACAACCAAGGGAGAAGCCAAACTTAATAACTTTCAAGTATATACAGCACGGTCAGTATCTTTGATAATGTTCTTGATTTTTGTGGCACATGTGAGGCACTGTAGTAGAGGGTAAGCTTCTTAAATAGTGTTGAATCTAGCGATTCAGATCTAGTGGGAAAGACTGGCGTGAATCTAAAGATTCTATACTATTTAAGATTCTGTTTGTTTTCATTATTTGGAAGATCGTCAGCAGAATGAAGCAATAGACAACTCTGTTGTGCTTCAGATCACTTTGCTTTCTTGCAGGAATCTGTGCCACCCAAATTGTCTGATCCAGTGAATCTGCAAGAAAAGGTCTGTGAGGCCCCCAGTCTGCTGACTGCATGACAAACTCTAAAGGAAATGCCTATCGTGATGGCCCGGGACCTGGAGGAAACAGCATCATCCTCAGAGGATGAGGAGGTGGTAAGCCAAGAGTAAGTAATTGCAAACTTGTGCTTGTAACTTTTGCATTAGGAGAGAAGATGAATTCTTTTACTCAAAATGTCTTTTGTCCAGTATTCTTCCTTTCATATTGTATGGCTCTGGTTTTAGCTTGATCCACCATCGAATTCAAGTTAGACGATGAATGAACATCAGCTTCAGATGTTGTAAAATGCAGGTAGCCGTTGGGTGAATTTTTTTTATAAGAGATTCCAATGTTGGAGATTTAAAGAATTTTTCTATATTGAAGAAAAGTAAGTCTCCAAACTCTGACATTGACTGTGTTATGCTGTTTTTCTCAAAGCCTTTAAAATGATACATAGTGGTAATAAAAAAAGACACATATGTTAACAGCAATTCTAGGGCAGGGTATTGAAGTTCTGTGGCCTATGCAGCATTTACTGAACAACAGTGGCTGTCCAGAGATCTTTCAAGCTGAGTTCAGTGTCTTGCTTGCTGGATTTTCATAATTAAAATGAATGATAGTGGTAAGGGCAGCCACTGTAAGATGATGGGGTGGGCTTTATCTGGAAATGAATCTGGAAATGAAACTTACATTTTATTTACTCTATTAAGATCAGCCTTACAAATATCCACAAACTTCCTCAGGGAGCCTTATAGTGTTGGCTTGAGAATCATACTTATCTTTTCTAGATTTTAAAAAGCTTTGTTATTTTACCTCCTTTATTATTACTACTTCCACAGAATAGAGGGAGAAACAGGCTTAAGTTAAGATAGGTTTTTAGGTACTTGTGAGTCCTTTGGGATGTATGTGTGCCTTGTAACCTAAAAAGCAAGGGTATCGCTCAGGCTGTTTTATTGGGGTGTGGTTAGAACCAAATGGAATACTGTGTGTGAAATTACTTGATAAATTATAAAGTAACATACAAATGTAAGGTATAATTCTTACCCATTTTAATACTGAATTCATGATAGACTTTTAATAAGGTAGATTACATTAAATATCATTTAAAAAAGATTATTGAAAAAGATTTCTGGACAGGCTTCTTTTCAATATTAGATCATAGAAAATAATAATGATGTGACAGTATATTTGGGTCATTCTCTTCCAGGATAATTAGATAATTCCCTCTGGTTGCTTTGTCTTTTTGTGCCATTTTGCTTTTAGTATACTGTCTTTTACCTATTTTACAAAAATTTTAACTTCTGCAAGCAGTAGTTTTTCTATTTCTCAAGATTGTTTTTTTTTTATTGTGAATCAAGATTGTTTTTTTTTAACTCCATTATTATTTCTTGTTAGTGAGCTTTGTGGCTAGATATAAATAACATTATTATTGTGGTTTGCTATCTGTATTTGTAATTGAGAAATTGAGAATTAGTCTGAAAATATTTATGCATTCCTCTCTGACACTCATCTAGATTTCTAGACTTTTTGTTCTTTTTTCTTTCAGACTCTTCCTGTTGATTTTTTTTAATTTTTAAAATTGTTTTTATAAAGGTGCTATACAGAGGGGTTACAGTTATATAAGTCATGTAGAATACATTTTGTTTTGGACAATGTCACCCTTTCTCTCACTTTCTCCCAGTTTCCTGCTGGTTTTTAACTATTAATCTGTTCCATCAGCTTTTGTCCTGTCAATCAGACATTTGTTTTATAAATTAAGACGTCTTAGTTTTTTAACCCCTGGATCAGAGGTTTACAGTTTAAAAGATTTAGAAACCAGACAGTCTTATGCCACTTAAAGAGGCAGATTTGATCCAAAGATATATTTCCTTGTGTATGTCAGGTTGCCTCACATCTCTGTCCTTTAGTAAAATATTACTGCCTTGTAATCCTGGACTTCAGGGTTAGGAACTGCCCAAGCAGTTCTTGTTTTACATGATGTTATTTCAAAGAGTAAATGTAAAGAAAAGTATTTTGTATTTTGTTTGGGGATTCCAAATACAAATTTATATGTAGAAGTGGAACTCTCGTATAAGAACTTGATACAGCATTTGTTTGGTCTTTGGGAAAGTAAAAACCTTCATGTCTATCATAGAAGGTAGCTTTATATAAGTTTAAAAGACCTGCAGCAAATAGTCATAAAGTGAGTGCCGCAGGATTTAGGGAATGAGGGCCATCTGCATGAGCAGTAGTGCTGGGGAATCTCCTTGGAGATGGTGGGACTTTTTACATAGGCCATGGGGGAATGGCCTTAAATGGAACATCTGATGTGGCAGTGGCATGAGGAAAACACTGTGCAAGAATGCCAAAACTACTTTCCAGCAGTAGAAAGTATGTAGTCTTCATGAACAGATGCTACTTGAAAACCATTGGACTTCCAATAGACTGTATCATACGACTTGTTCTTTCAGTAATTAATCAAATTCTTTGTTCTCTCTTTCCCATAAAAATGGATTTTCTTAATATCTAGCAGTTTCTGAGGTGAATGAAATTTATAGAGTTCCCGTTTTCAAGTTCCTAGTCATTTGTAATTTTTTTTCTTTAGCACCACCTGGTGGGAGCATGTTTTTAAAGACAGCAATCTGCCTGAAGGGTATTTTAGTTAACCTTAACTAAACCAGTAATTTATCCAGTCTTTTTATCTCTCTTCTTAGTGGGTTGTACATGAAAAGATTTCTTTTTCAGGGATTTGGCTTCCACAGACAGCATTGTTAGGGCCTTAGCTCTTCCCAGCTGCGCATCTGTAATTGTGTCCTAACTCCAGTTAGGCCCTTTTAAGTGTAGCCAGTAATCTATTGTTTAGCTGCCAAGGCATAGTGGTACCAGTTTGTAGCTAGTGTTAGATGGACAAGGAACTTCAGATACAGTCCAGAATTTCTGTCTAAGACTTCCTGGTTTAGGCTTCCTAATTTTTCCTCTGTCCACTGACAGAAAAATTAGAGTTGGAAGAGATCATAAGAATCCTTAAGCCCAATGCCCACATTTTACATGTGGTTAAGATAAAAAAACAAGCAAGCTGCAAAAAAAAAAAAAAAAAAAAAATCCTCCTTGCTAAATTGCTTTATGACTCTAAATGAAAAGGAAAACATTCAAAATGCTTAGAAAAAGGAAAACTGAGACCTTGCATTTTGTTTTACATCAGAAATAGCTATATATTAAGCACCTGTAAAGACCATTTCTCACCAGGAAACAAAGTAGATGTAGTGTTTGCTTTCTGTTCTTGATAGAAGCTGTTGGCAGCTCTATCCAAGTTCAGAGACTGCCTAACTTCTAGGTTGGCAGTCTGGAAAAATTCAGGTCTTTTAAAGCCTGGGTTGGGTGGATCTATCTTGATCCAGAGATGTGATATAACTTTTGTGAACAGGTGCAGTCCTGTGAATTTTACAAAGAGGAGTGAATCTTGGCTGAATAGATCTTATTCCATTTAAGGGATTGATGAAATTGCCAAAAAATTGAGTTCAAGGTGTTCATTATACATAACTTCACTGAAATGTAATTGTTTAAATGGCAAAAGGCAAAAAGAACATAGACATTGGGTCTAGAACCTGTGCATCATCTCTATGTGCAGTTACTTAGCTCTATGACCTTGGTCAAATAGCTGAACCTCCTTGAGATACTTGTTTCCATTCTAGTGTGGTCAAGTCAGTGAGATTATTTTTGGTACATAGGAGAGACTCAATTCATTGAATTCCCCCACCTCCCTTTTCTACATATTGGCCCTGAGGAGGTTGAAGATTTTTCTAATCTGTGAAGTCTGTTGAAGTTTGAAACTGAGCTTTCCTAAGGGCAAGGAAAGCCAGATATAAACCAGATATAAGAAGTCCCTTTCTTCTCTGTTTTATACTGGAGGAAGGTATATATTTTTCCATTTACCATAGGTTTTCTTTAAAATACATGATTTTAATTTGGGTACTTGTTTTAATTTAGGCTTCCTAGCTTAAAATGTTAGGGTAGATGATCAGATCGGCTTGAAAAGCGACTGTAGGACATAAAGGGACATATATCGTTGAGAATATACTATTTAGGATTTTTTATGTGTTTAAGATATTAAAACGTAAATCATTCTAAATAAGAAAGGAAATTTATTAAGTCATATTTAGGCAGGCATTGATTCTATAATGATATCACCCAGGATCTCATTTTTGTCCTCCCAATCTGGCTCCAACTGACTTATTTACTAACAGCTCTAGACTTTCCCCTCATCATCACACCATGGCTCTTGCAGTTCCAGTCTTCTTATTCTCATTTTACACCATGAAGAAAAAGAGGGGCCATCACCTGTAGTTGCTATAGAAGAGAAAGAAATCACTGCTTCATCAAGGAGTCTCTGAACACCTTTCATAGGCTCTGATTGGTTCACATGCTCATCCTGGAACCAGTCACTAAAATCGAGTGATGGAATTAATCCAGGCACATCCCTGCAACTGGGTTGATTTAATCTGAAACACATGGCTAAGAGTGGGAGCTGAGTGATTTCCCGTAGACTGTTAGGGCTCTCATTCCAAAAGGAGGAGGAAAGTTACTGCTCTGTATCAGTAGCTTAGATTTTGAGTTGTAGATGATTGAAGCCTTTTGTTGTGGTTGTAGGGATCATCCATGTATCATGTGGACCGGAGGCTGCAGGAGAATTCCAGTTTTGGTATTCCATGCTGAGGCTATTCTCACAAAGGACAACAACATTCGAGGAATTGGAGGTAGGTCTAACATCTCCTACAGAAGGCAGAGTTGGCAGGACCCTCATATGACCCTGGAAAAAATTAATAAGACACAGATAGAGAAAAGGCCTTGGCCATCAGAAAAATCTATTGAGTTGAATGATTATTTGAAATTTCTTAAATTGTTTATTGTATACATTTTGCTCTGATTTTTTAAATTTTTATTTGCTTTTGAAATAGAGATTTGATACTTTTTCCATTCTGGCCTCAAATTTTTGATCCTCCTGCCTTTGTCTTATAAGTAGTAGGAATTATAGGTGTGCACCCCACCATGCCTACCTATTTTTTTTTTTTTTTTTTTTTTGAGGTGGCATTGAGGATTGAATCCAAAGCCTTGTATTATACTCAGCAAGTGTTGTACTACTTGAGCTATACCACCGGTCCCTTTTCACCATTTTAGAGATACAATTTATTAACATTGAGCACAGTTGTGCAGTCATGATCTGTCTAGTTTCAGGACATTTTTTTTTTTTTTTTATGGTGGTGCATGTCTATAATATCATCCTTTTTTGGGGGGAACTAAGCAGGAAGACTGAGAGTTTGACACTAGCCTGGGCTACATAGTGAAAAGCAGAGGACTAGAGGTATGGCTCAAGTGGCAGAGTGCCAGCCGTGAGGCAAGTGAACGCACAAGGCTCTGAATTCAAGCCCCAATACCAGCACACACAAAAAAAGAAAGAAAGACAGACTGAAGAAAGAAAAGAGAGAGATAGAGAAAGAGAAAGATAGCAAGGAAGGAAGGAAAGAAGGAAGGAAGGAAGCAAGCAAGCAGAAAGTCTGTGCCCCCAGCTGTGTGGAACTTAGATAAATAAGCAAAGTCCCTTCTGTGCAGGATGGGGGCCTTCAGGACATTTCTATCACTCCAAAAGTAAAGCCTATACCCAGTCGTCAGTCATTCTCCATTCCCCTATACCATTAGTCCTTAGCAACTAGGGCCTGCTACTGTGTGTAGATCTCTATTCTAGATATTCCAAATAAATGGGGTTATATAGCTTGTGGCATTCTATATCAGGCTTCTTCTCACCTACGGTATTTTTGTGGTCCACCCATGTTGGATTGTTTATCAGTTCTTCATGCCATTTTATGGCTAAATAGTATTTCATTGAATAGGTATATCCTCAGTTAATAGGCATTTATGGTAGTCCCACCTTCTGGCTCTCATGCATAATGCTGTTAAAAGTATTTGTGGACAAGTTTTTGTTTGAGCACCTGTTTTAATTCCTTTGGGTATTACTCAGAATGGATTTGTCAGGTTATTTGTTTAACTTGTTACATAATTATCAATTTGTTTTCCACAGTAATTATATCACTTTACATTCCTACCAACAATATGTATCAATGTCTATGTACTCTAGTTTTTTTTCATGTCCTCATTAACATTATTTTCTACTTTCTTGATTATTGTCATCTAATGCATTAGAAATGCCATCTCACTGTGGCTTTGATTTGTACTTCCCTGTTGATCAATAACATTAAACATCTTTTCATATGATTGTTGGCTGTTTGTGTATCTTATTTGGAGAAATGTCTGTTTAAGGCTTTGCCCATTTTAAGGATTGTGTTAGCTTTTTTTGTTGTTGAGTTGTACCTTCTGGATATTAAATCATTATCAGATATAATATTTGCAAATATTTTTCCTTTGTATTAAGTTTCAAAATAAGGAAATGTAAATCCTCTTACATTGTTCTTTTTCAAAATTGTTTTGACTGTACAGGGCCTCTTACAATTCCATATAAATTTGAGAGCTTTTCCATCTCTGCAAAATTGGCTCTTGGGATATTGGTAGAGAATTCACTTAATCTGCAAATCACTGAACACTGTTCTGAGCCTAGGGCTAGACTGTAGCTACTTTCAAAGATTATAATATTGTGAACTGTCATTGTTTGATGGAAAGAGTTTGTTAGGTACTTATTCTCTTGGTCATTGGTTCAAATTTCGGCTTTAGCATTTACTAGCTGTGAGTCTTGGGCAAGTCACTTAAATTCTGTTAACCAGTAGTTTAGCTAAATGAGGATTATCTTAGAAGTGTTGTGAGGATTACATGCAATGCCTAGCACATAGTAGGTACTTCAAACTTGTGCCACTCATTCTACTTACTGAATAGAATTAACTCTTCATTTAAATGATTTTAAGATCTCATTACTCCACAACAAGCCAGAAGTTCAAAGAACTATAAGCTTTCTTTGGGGATTTGGATGCTCCTCTCCTGAGTTCTTGTGTTCTAAACCCCTCAGCAAGTTGCTAGGTTACTATTTAAAGGGGACATGGTTCATTCATGTTCTCTGAAGCCTGATAACTGAAGACTGCTGAGAAACTCTCTTTATAAATGATTCAAACCTTAATGTCATCCGTGGGTAATAACCACAGGTGAATAATACCCACAAAACATGCTTCTTTTGGCCCACTTGTCACATACAGTAGTCTATGTATTCTATGACAATAAGTAGACCCTTCTTTTTTAATACTTAACAGTTATGGAAAAGTAATATCTACCAGTAGTGGATGATGACTGTTTTCTAGAACTTGTATCTTTTCTCTTTATACATCCCTATGGTAAAGCCACTCAAATTCTTTGCTTTTAATATTTCTCTATTTTTCTCAGTTTCTTGAGTTTTCATCATTTTATTCACCTTCCTTTATGAAGAAAACAAATAGTTGGAGTGACTTTTACTAGTAGCTGAATTGTTAAACAGTTTTGGTTTATAACTTTTTTTTTTTGTCAGTTGTGGGCTAAACTCAGGCCTGGGCACTGTTCCTAAGCCTCTTTGTGCTCAAGGCTACTGCTCTATCACTTGAGCCTTAGCACCACTTCCAGTTTTTGAGTGGTTAATTGGTTATAAGAGTCTCCTCGGGCCAGGGCCAGGCACTGGTGGCTCACGTGTGTAATCCTAGCTACTCTGGAGGCTGAAATCTGAGAATCACAGTTAAAAGCCAGCCGGGCCAGGAAAGTCCATGAGATTCTTATCTCCAATAAACCACTAGAAAACCAGAAGTGGCGCTGTGGTTCAAGTGGTAGAGCGCTTGCCTTGAGCTAAAGAGCTGAGGGACAGTGCTGAAGCCCAGAGTTCAAGCCCCACGACTGACAAAAAGAATGAAAAAAAGAAGAGTCTTTCCATGTCTTTTTTCTGCCCTCTTCTTTTGCCCTGGCTAGCTTCAAACTGTGATACTTAGATCTCACCCTCCTGAGTAGCTAGGATTATAGGCGTGAACCACGGGTGCCAGCTGGTTTATAACTTATTTTCTTGAGGTTGTTGTCTTAAATAGCTGACAAGGGACATAGATCTGCTTAGGTTTAAGCCTGTGGATAAATCCCCTTGAGAAGTTATCTGGGACAGTAACTACCTTCTGTTCATCTCAGTGTTAGATTCAATTTTATTTTTTCCGGTTATCTCTTACGTATTTCTTGAGGCAGTATAATTTCTCATGCTTTATTGTGAAATACTTCAGAAATACGGCCTTTTCCTCAATACAACTTTTTTCTACAAAACTATATGTACTTTAAACATGTAAATGGGATTATATTCTAAAGGCAACAACGGTCTTCTCAGCTTAAAGTTTTCTTTTTTCTTTCTTCTTTTTTTTTTTAATTGTTCGTTATGGGACCTGAACGCTGGGCCTGGGCACTGTCCCTCAGCTCTTCAGCTCAAGGCGAGTGCTCTACCACTTGAGCCACAGTGCCACTTCTGGCTTTTTTGGCTTATGTGGTGCTGGGGAATCGAATCCAGGGCCTCATGCATGCAAGGCAAGCACTCTACCACTGAGCCATCTTTCCAGCTCATCAACTTAAAGTTTTCATAGGACAAAACATCTTTTTATAATTTGCCTTTCAGTATGTCCCTTTAGTAGGTTTATATTTTTTATAGACTAGCAACAGAAGTATAATGAAAGCTATGTATGTAAATTAAAATTTGAAAGGTGAACTCAGTAAAAAGTGAATCTCTTATTTAACCCAGCATATCCCAAACGTCAATAGAAAACATCTTTAATGGGGTATTTTATATCTAGTGTGAATTTTACCCTTGCAGTATATCTTAACTTGGTGAAATTTTCATTGGAAATATTTGATTAGTGTCAGAAACATTATAGTTGAAACAAATAAGTTCACATAATTAACATGCTTCAATGATGTTTTCTCCTTTTTTTGGTGCTGGAGATTGATTCCAGGGCCTTGTGCATGCTAATCATGTACTCTACCAGTGAGCTACACTCCCAGTCCCTATTTTCTAATAATTTAGTCACATATCACTTTTAAATGTAATTTTAATTATATAAAGTAAAATAAAATAAAAATTCAGTTTTTCTATCTATACTTTCAGCCCATATTTTCTAATAACTTAGTTACATATCCACTTTTAAATGTAATTTTAATTGTGTAAAGTAAAATAAGCCAGGCACCATTGGCTCTTGCCTATAATCCTAGCTACTCAGGAGGCTGAGATCTGAGGCTCCAGGTTTGAATCCAGCCTGGGCAGAAAAATCCTCATGAGACTCTTACCTCCACTTAACCACTGAAAAACTGGAAGTGGTGCTCAAAATGGTAGAGCATGTTTAGCAAAAGCACTCAGGGACAGCACTCAGGCCCTGAGTTCAAGCCCCACGACCAACCAAAAAAAAAAGATAAAACAAAAAATTGGATTTTCTGTTATACTAGTCACATTTCAAATGTTTATTAGTCATATATTAGTAACTATTTTTATTGAATAATATAAGTACAACCCAAATTTCTTACACTAGGGAACAGTAATTCCTTCCTTGCCATTGAAGTAGTTACTCCTATATTCTAAAAATCAAGTGGGTCACTTTTAGCTTCATTCTGATTCACTATGCTATTTTTTTTCCCACTGCTGGGGACTGAACTCATAGCCTTGAACTTACTAGGCAAGTATTTTCCACTGAGCTAAATCCCTAACCACTCCCATGCTATTTTTATCTAAATCATTGGGCGCTTTCACTGCTCCCTGGGTACCTTTGTCTGCTGG